AGAGGTCAGAAGAGGCTATCAGATCCCCTGGGACTGGAGTTACAGACAGTTGTTAGCTGCCATGTGGGTGCCGGGATTTGAACCCAGGTCTTCTGCAAGAACAACCAGTGTTCTTAACCTCTGAGCCATCTCTCCAGCCCCTTATTTTTATTTTATGTGTATATTTTGCATGCATGTACATGTTGCTAAAATTCCTTCGGGGGGTCGATGTAAACAGCATCTAACGCCTCCTCCCTTGATACCAACGACACACTGAGGTATGAGTCTACCAAAGTGCAGTCTGGGAAACCAGTGAGTTTGTTGGATTTACTTACAGAGCAATGGGGGGAGGGTGAGTTACAGGAATGTGGGTGCTCCCAATAAGTTCACATCAGAAATTCTACACCCAAGCATGAATGGTGGCTTCCCCACAGCACCATAAGTGGAGCCCTCTCTTTACTCTTTCCTAGCCTGTATACTCTACCCCCTCCCCCAGGCCATGTGCAGTTAAGGCTGAATTGCTCTTCTTGAGTTGGGAGGTGTGGCTGGATACTGAAGTGAGGGTCCTATGATGCTTTCTGCCCCTCCTATGCAGGGCATCAGCAGTTAATAAGCTCAGCCATGATGATCTTAGTCAAGGGGGCACAGCTGAGCTCAGGAAGATGGCTCTCAGAGGACAGTCCTGTACAACAGTATGTAAGTGCACCATGGTGCATGCAATGCCTATGGAGGTCAAAAGAGGTTGTTGGCCCAGGACTCAGGAACCATTGTGGAAGAGGGTGCAGAAAGGTTGTAAGAGCTAGGGAGGAGGTATAGGATCATATGGAAATAATCCTACAAGTGCCTGGGACCCTTCTCATACAAACCTACAGCAATGATGTCAGCATGCACAAGACCCATGCAGACCTAAGCAGACAAAAATCCAGCACAAAACTGTGGAAATGAACAGCAGGCCCCAATCTTAGTCAAAGAATTATTGGCAGCTGATTTCTGCTGGGTGAGGAAGAGCTCATCTTCTTAAAAGGGAGGGACTCTAAGTAGGCTGACTAGATCCTAGTAGATGAACTTGCACTGAGGGACATCTGGGGACACCCACTTTAATGACAGGCCTTAACACAAATGAAAGTGTTAAAGTTCAGATAGCCCTGCCCCCTCACCAACAGGGCCTCACGGACCCCACAAACCCCTGAGAAAAGGGAACCAAGTTGATAAGCACCCTGGTCTTTGAAGTCAAGAGAAGCAGACTTTTCTCCACTGTTTGTCTAACACAGCAGGCTTCCCCTTTGATCTCTAAAGAGGGCAGGTTTTAACAGTCCTGCTCTCCCACTCCCCCCCAACTTAAAAAAAAAATACATCTTCCCATCTTCTGCAGGAAGCAGAAGCCTCCCTTTTAAAAAGTCCCCAGCTCAAGACCTGGGCAGACATTTTGTGTTCCTTTGCTAATAAACTCTATTCCAATGGAGTTTTATCTGTGTCCTGGTGCTTTCTCCTGATCAACTGGATTCATCCATGGCCTGCTTTATCTATCAGAAGGAATGTATGAACTCCAGTGGGTGGGGTGCTATGGGAGGGTGCCAAAGGGAAAGGGGGTATAAAGATGATTTTCTGTATGAAATACACAAAAGTTAATTTTAAAAAATTTTAAAAAGAGGGTGTTGGATTCCCTGGAACTGGAGTTACTGATGGAAGTTAGTTGCCACGTGCTCTTAACCACTGAGCCATCTCTCCAGCCCCCTCCCCTCATTTTAATGGAGAAAGCAGTATCTACCATTTTATGGCTTAAATCTGAGATGTCCTCCATATGGGGACATGTTTTGAGCACTTGGTCCCCAGATGGTGGAGCTATCTGGGGAGGCTGTGGAACCATAAAGAAGTGAGGTCTAGCTGGCATTACTAGATCACTAGAGGCAGGTCTTTGAAGACTGTCTTCAGCACCAACATGGCCTGGAACTTACTATGCAGACCAGGCTGGCCTCAAACTCAGATATCCACCTGCCTCTGCCTCTCAAGTGCTGGGATTTAAGTCATGTGCCACCACGCCCAGCTTGCAAAACAATTTTTTTAAAGACCAGATTTGGTGGTGGGCACCCATAACCCCAGCATTCCTATGGCAAGATGGGAGCTGGACACAGGAGAATCACTTGGGGGCTCACGGGCCAGCTAGCCTGGAGTACGCAGTGCAGCAGAAACAAGTGAGACACCGCCTCAACAGGCAGAGGGTGAGGCCTGCTCCTGAATGTTTTCCTCTAACTTCCCATAGCCAAGGCTGACCCACTGAGACACTGCAGGAAGTCCCCCTCCCTGTTGGATCCTGCTCTCTCATCTGTATGATGTGATTAACTGGGGCTGACCCTACCCAGTTCTGAGGGCTTGAGAAGATGGATCGATTAGCAAGAATGGACTTTTGAAAGGAGAAACTTCTTCCTTGTTTTCTTCATTTTTGTTTGTTTGTTTTTGAGACAGGGTCTCAGTATGTAGCCCTGGCTGGACTGGAATTCATTATGTAGACCAGGCTGGCCTAAAACTCACAGAGATCCACCTGCCTCTGCCTCCTGAGTGCTGAAATTAAAGGAGTATATCACTATACCTAATTGTCCCTTTTTCCCCCCTTGAGACAGGGTCTCATGTAGCTCAGGCTAGCCTCCAACTTGCTATGTAGTTGAGACCTTGAACTCTTGATCCTCCTGTGTCTACCTGCTCAGTGCTGGTATAACAGACATGCACCACTAACTCCATCTGGTTTCTTATTCTGATGTCTGCATTCAACTGCCTTTCAAGAGAGAGGGGGGTGGAGGGAGAGAGAAAGCATATTAGATGTGTGCATCTAATATACAAATATATACGAATACATGTACATTTTGTGGTGCTGGGTATGGAATCCAGGGCCACATGCATGCCAAACAAGCACTTTATCACTGAGCTACATCCCAGCCCATGTGTGTGGGTCTACTTATCTATCTATCTATCTATCTATCTATCTATCTATCTATCTATCTCTCCATCCATCCATCTATCTATCTATCATCTATCTATCTCTCTATCCATCCATCTATCTATCATCTATCTATCTATCTATCTATCTATCTATCTATCTATCTATCTATCTATCATCTATCCCTATGTATCATCTATCTATACCCATCGATATACCTATCATCCACCTGTCCATCTATTCATCTATCATCTATCTTTTCATCCACATACAGATATATATGATACATGAGATAAAGAAACATATATATGTGTATAAAATGTTACTCTTGTTGATTGTGGTGGGTATACCTCTGCAATCCTAGCATTGAGAGGTGCAGGCAGGATGATGAGTTCAGGGCCATCCTCAACTACATACTGAGTTTGAGGCAAGTCTAGACTAGAGACTTTATCTGAGGATTGGGAGGAGTTTCTGGGACTAATATTTGCCTTTTGCCTTTGCTGTGATCTCCTCAAGGCTCTGCCCTTCAGCCTGGGTGATCTTGGAGGGACGCCTGTTTTCTCTGTGTTTCGGAAAGTGAAGGGACACCCCCCTCATACAAAGGGGTTGTGAGGTGTCCTAGTGGCCAAGGCCCAGGACAGGTAAGGCAAGATCTTTATGACACCGTGCATACTCAGAACCGCCTGCTCCATTCCTGGCCCCTCCCAGGCCAAGCTCTCTTGGAGTGGAGTGGGGGTGTCCTGGTTTGTCTCCCTAGTTGTTCTCTTCGGACCCCTCCCTGGTGATGCTGAATTCCCTGGGGCCTATAGATTGGGCACCTGAACCTGTCCAACCAGTTGTATGGAAGGAGGGGGCACACCAGAGGGATGGCTAAAATGTCAGAAGCAGCCTCCCCCCAGCCCAGCCCAGACAGAGCTGCTGAGTCCCAGCTGCATGGCAGACAGACCCAGGGGGGAAGGACAGACAGCTAGAAGTTCAGCCCAGCCATGGGGCTCAATGGAAGACAGTCCCCACTTCTGATCTCACTCTGGCTGCTGGTGACTTCTGTCCATCCCGGGACTGGTCTGGGTGAGTGAGGCTGGGGAGCGGAGGGAGCAGGGATACCACTACATTCTCAGCCCTCTGGAGAATTAGAACAGCCCTTTTAAAGTCCAGCTGCCTCCACAGTGCCTTTCTTGGCTGTGGACTGGGTTTCTGGGTGGTCCAGGGTGCTCCTGGGTGTCTCCAGGGGAGGTAGCCCACCCCAGGCTGTCACAAGATGGGCATATGTCCCTCAACCCGATGGTCAGGGAACAAGAACATGGCTTCTCTCCTTTTGAGGGTTCTCATACACAAATTCTTACCAATGGCTACCCAAATCATCTCTCATCCCCATAGCTCCATTCTTCCCTTGCATTAAGCAAATATTAACTACCCACTGTGTGCAGAATACTCTAGTCCCTTGAGATAAGACAGAGAGTTTTTTAGTGTATGATTTACTTATTAGCTTTTTCGTTTTTTTTGAGACAGGATCTCTTTGTAGCCCCAGTTGGCCTGGAACTCACTATGTAGACCAGGCTGACCTCAATCTCACAGAGATCCACCTGCCTCTACCTCCCAAGTGCTGAGACCAAAGGCATACACCACCACAAAGCTTTATTTATTTATCTTTATGTATATGAGTGTTTTGCCTGCATGCATGTAAGTACACCACTTGCCATTGGAGGCCAGAAGAAGGTATAGGATCCCCTAGAACTGGAGTTATGGATGGTTGATAGTTGCCATGTGGGTGCTGAGAATTGAACTCGGCTCCTTTGCAAAAGTAGTCAGTGCTCTTAACCCCTGAGTCATCTCTCTAGCCCCAGAGAGTTTTAAAAAGTCGTTTATTTATTTGTTTATGTGTGTATGCATGTGTAAGTACCAGTATGTGAGTGCAAAGTTCCAGTCTTCAGGCGCCATTCGCCTTTTGTTTGGGACAGGGTCTCTCATTGGCCTGGAAATGGAGGCCAAGCTAGCCTTCCCACAACTTCCATGGAGCCCTTAGTCTCCACTTTCCATCTCACCATCTTTGGGATTATAGATATCCACCTACACCCAGACCCCTGTACCCCCATAGCACCATTCCTGGCTTTTCACGTGGGTTCTAGGGATTCAAACTCATGTCCACATGTTTGTGAGGCAAGTGCTTTGCTGATGGAGTCATCTTCCCAGCTCCCGTTCATTCTTCTCATCAAACAAACCAACCTGGACCACATGTCAAGCAGGAAGGATGGTCAGGGTCACTGAGCAGAATCCAACCTAGAGTTCTGGCTCTCCTCAATCTGAGTCTCCTGGAAGGAGGGAGAGCCTCTTCTGTCCATCTGCCTAGTCCTACCCATCACCCTAATCACACAGTCCCAGGCCCTGCTAGGCTCCTGAGAGAGGATCCAGGGGCTTGCTCAGTAACACCCCCCCACTCCATTCAGGGCAACTCCCATAAAGATTCCTTAATTCTGTCTCTGGGGAGATGGCTCATCAGGTAAAGGCACCTGCTGCTAATGACCCAAGTTTGCTCCCCAGGACCCACATGGTGGAAGGAGAGAATTGAATCCTGAAAGTTGTCCTCTGACCTCCACATATGTGCTGTGGCATATGCATGTGTAACTCACATATAATAAATTAAAATGTAATTTAAGGCCAAGTGTGGTGCACGCCTTTAATCCCAGCACTTGGGAGGCAGAGGCAGGTGGATCTTTGTGAGTTCGAGGCCAGCCTGGTCTACATAGTGAGTTCCAGGACAGCTGGGGTTACTGGGAAACCCTGTATCAAAAAGACAAAAAAAATGTAATTTAAAAATTCCTTAATTCATCCCTTAGATGTTAAAAGAATATTCTAATTAATTAAATTTTATTTTATGGTGTGTGTGTGTGTGTGTGTGTGTGTGTGTGTGTGTGTGTCTTTTTGAGACAGGGTTTCCCTGTAGCTCCAGCTGGCCTGGAACTTGCTATGTATACCAGGCTGGCCTCAAACTCAGAGATCCTCCTGCCACTGCCTCCCGAGTACTGGGACTAAAGGTGGCCATCGCCATGCCCAGCAACTTTTATTTTATGTTTATGAGTGTTTTGCCAGCATGTATGTAAGTGCACTGTGTGTACAATGTTCACAAAGGCCAGAAGAGGTCATTGGATCCCCTGAAACTAGAGTTACAAACAGTCATTAGCTGCCATGTGGATGCTGAGAACTGAACCCAGGTCCTCTACAAGAGTAACCAGTGCTCTTATCACTAGTCCAGCCCTCTAGACTCTTTTGTTTCCTTCTTTTGAGACAAGTTATCACTGTGAAGCCCTGGCTGGCCTAGAACTTGCTAGGTAGACCAAACTGGCCTCAAACTCATAGAGATCTGCCTGCCTCTGCATCCTAAATGTTGGGATTAAAGGTTGTGCCACCATGCCCCTAGACTGGAGTTTTGGAGATAGGTTTGTTCTCCCTTGGATGAGGCTGGACCACCATGTTCAGCCCCTTCTTTTGCCCTCTTCTCCTGTCCTTCCCAGAGAACAGCCATTATGTTCCCCAACTCTCCAGAGCTGCCCTGGAGGGAAAGCTCACACAGTCTACCTTCACATTGGAGCAGCCCCAAGGGCTATTTGATAATCTCAACATCTCTGACTCTGACCCCATCCAGTTGGTGGTGGCTCACAGCAATGGTGGGTGTGTTTGCAAGCAAACCTTGCTTTTCCCCTCTGTGAAATGGGCAGATGGGTCTGAGAGGTATAGCAGGTGAGGGGAGTTGGGAGGAGGTGTTTGGAGGGATGTGACTGGGAAGAGCTGTCAAGTCTGATAGGATGGGATTTGGGTTCCTGCCATGTGGTCCCTGTCAGTTGATCCTCTGTGCCACCCCAGCCACCCAGAACTTTGCTGCCCCACAGAAGATAGATGATAAATATGCTCCTGCCAGCTTCACCCAGAATGGTTACTACCTGACGCTCAGGACCAGCCGGGTACATTACCAGGGTGGTCGGCCTGGTAAACAGCTCCAAGTCCTCCATGTTGGCAATGACACCAGCTTCTCCCTGAAGTCCAAGGGCTGCAACTCCCCTCTGCCAGGCTCTGGCCCCTACAGGTGAGCAGCAGTAGCAGGCCACAGTTAAAGTGGGGGTACCCTCACAGGGAAGAAACCAGAGCCTGGGGCAGCTAGTGGATGGTTCACTGGGATCAAGCAAGGTATCTGGGTTCTTTCTTTCTTTCTTTCTTTCTTTCTTTCTATCTATTTACTTTATTTATTGTGGTGCTGGGGATGGGACCGAGGTCCTGGAGTATGCTAGGCAGGTGTTTACCACTAAGCCTCACCCCCAGTCTCTTATTGGGGGATTCTAGGCAGGTGCTCTACCACTGAGTCACACTCCTAGCTCCTCACTGGGAAATTCTAGGCAGATGCTCTACCTCTGAGCCAGACCCCTCAGCTCCTCACTGGGTGATCCTAGGCAGGTGTTCTACCACTGAGTCAAATCCCCCAGCCCCTCACTGGGAGATGCTAAGCAAGCACTCTACCACTGCACTGAGAGACTCCATTCCAGCCCTATTTTTACTTTTTGTTTTGAAACAGAATCTCAGTAAGTTGCCTAGGCTGACCTTGAACTCACTTTGTAGTCTAGGTAGGGTTAACTCGAAATCCTCTGATCTCAATCTTGTGAGATGCTAGGATACAGGCCTTTGCCACCATGCAGATCTTTCTTAAGCAGTGGGCCTCCTAACTCAAGGTCTAGTCCCCGTGGGCCATCTGAGCCGTGTGGGTGGAACGTCCCCAATCCCAATGGGGCATTCCCAGGCAGAGACTAGTCTCACTAGGAACCCTGTATCCCCTAAGTGTTTGATTCATTGATGTTCATTGTTGAGAGATCTAATCTACACACACATTTCCCAAACAGCCACAGCCAATGTCACATAGGTGGAACGGGCCCCCACCTCTGTCTGGTTCTGGAGCTCTGATCCCAAGAAGAGAGACTTCCAGGCACCAGGATCTGAGGGTTTCAGGACCCCAGGGGAGATCCCCCAACTCTGCCTTAATGCTGGGTCTCCTGTGCAGAGTGAAGTTCCTGGTGATGGGTGCCAAGGGACCCATGGCTGAGACAGAGTGGTCAAAGGAAGGTATGGGGACAGAAGAGCAGGTGGAAAGATTGTGGAAGGAAGGGGTAGTGACAGGGGGTGCTACGGGACCTAGGGACTCCTGTGGCCATCAGAGAACTGGGAAGACTACCTCACCCTTCAGTCAGGAAGCACAGTGCAACTCCACTCTCTGCATGTGTGCCTCCCAAGGCTGCCCCTCTTCAGTTCCTATCCCTGTCTGTAGCTTGGATATGGGGCGGTTGGTCTGGAAGCTGCTCACTGGCCCCTCCCCAGATTAATTAACATTTCTCCTGCCTGTCCCTGCAGCTCAGACATTCCGTGCTGTCCCTGGGTCCCAGAGCGAGGGTATTGTGGCCATCATTGCGTTCCTGTCAATCCTGCTGGCTGTCCTGCTGGCATCCTTCCTTATCTTGGTTCTGTCCTCTGGGTGAGTGGACCTCGCAGGTGCTGCCCTGTCTTCCAGCAGCAGCCTCAGTCGCTCCTGGCTGCCTCCTACTGGAGTGTTTCCTTTTTTTCCCCCTCGGGGCTACACAGAGCTAACAACAATCCGCTCTCCAGTTGTGCAGCACCAGGCCTGATTTCCCAGCGGGCTCCGCTCGCCCTCTGGCGGCAAGACATGGAATTGCAGCTGGGTTAGACAGCCAGGCTCCAAGCCCCAAGCAGGTGGCACCCCAGAGGAAGAGAACTGCTTTCGGCCATCCCACCGAAAAGGCATTGTTTTGATGCTGCGTGTAAGAACCGAAGTGCTGGGGGCTGATGAACAAGGGCTAGGTAAAACTTCGCAGAAGAATTGAGCACCCAGTTCCTGGTGGGGCTTGGGGAGGTAGCTCTGTGAGGGGGAGGCAGGAATGTGAGGAAGTATTGGGGGGTTGGGGAGCTGCTGGAGCAGGAGGGAGTGGGCAGGCAGGATGAGGAGGGAGCCTAGGTATCCAGCAGAACTGGGTTGTGCCTTGCAGGCCTGTAAGAGCAGCTCTCTTAACTGTTGAGCCATCTCTCCAGCCCCTTTTTTGTTTTTGTTTTTGCTTTTTAAAACAAGTTTTCACTATATAGCCCTGGCTGGCCTGAAACTTGCTATGTAGACTAGACTGGCCTCAAACTCACAGAGGTCTGTCTGCCTCTGCCTCTGCCTCCCAAGTGTTGGGATTAAAGGCATGCACCACCATGCCCAATGGAGTTTGATCAAGGGAGTCTTGTCAACACAGTTTAGAGAGACCCTGGGTTTGGGGTGGGGTTGGGCATTAACAAGGTGTTTCTGAGATTGTTAGGGTCAGAGCCTGATTTGTGAAGTTTAGAGGGATAATACAGCTCTCTTTTATTGATTCTGCCCAAACAGTCCAGCTTCCATTTTCCCTATGCAATGGTCTAAACAGTCACAGTGGGATTGAGAAAAGGCACACTTCTTTAAAAATTTTATGATGATAATGATGGTGATGTTGATAAAGATGATGATGGGGTGGGTGCTGGAAAGATGGCTCAGTGGGTAAAGGTGCTTGCTGCCCAGTGATGTGAGCCTGACAATCTGAGTTCTAGACCCAAAACCCACATAAGCATGGAAGGAGAGTTAAGACTTTTAATTGTTCTCTCCCATTTTTCTCACCACCCAAGCTGCAGGAGCACTTCCGTTTCCAGCTCAGTGGAGCAGGTGCGCATGAGGTAGCAACCACACCCACCAGTGGGGGGCTCCTGAGTGACTCCAGGGGCTGGCTCCCGGCTACCCCACAGCTTCCTCCATGCTGAGCCTGAGATGGGGATCTCCCTTGGAAGCTTCTGGAATTCCCAAAGAGATTGTTCTAGGGGAAGCGGCCTTAGCCCAAACTTGGGCAAGTTCTTATTAGAAATAAAATTCCCCAATACTTCTGTGCTTATTTTGTACACCTGGGTTCCTTCATTTATTCTCTCTCCCTTTCTAGTCTCTGTGTGTGCACATGTGTAAGCAGGTGCGTGGAGAAGCCATGGGTCAATGTTGCATGCCTTCTTCAAGCTTTATCTTATTTTTAAAATTATTTTCATTTTATGTGTAAAAGTGTTTTGCCTACATGTATCTAAGTGCATCACATGCATGTAATACCCTTGGAGGCCAGAAGAGGGTGTCAAATTCCTTGAAACTGGAGTTACACATGGCTGTTAGCTGCCATGTAGGTTCTGGGAATTAAACCCAGGTCCTCTGCAAGAGCAGCCAGTGCTCTTAATGCGGAGCCATCTCTCCAGTCCTGCACCTGACTTTTTACATAGGTACTAGGGATTGAACTTAATTCTTCATGCTTGGTCAGCTACCAACTGAGCCATTCTCCCCCAGTCCCAAGAGGCAAGGTCTCTCTGTGTCCCCAAGCTTGCTTTAAATTTGCTTTGATCTTCCTGAGCCTGCCTCCCAAGTGCTGGGATTACAGACAGGTGTGTGCCCCACTGTGCCCAGTTCTCTCTCTTTCTCTTGAAACAGGGTCTGTATTACCTTTTCTGTTGCTATGATAAGACACCATGACCAGAGCAACTTATAAAAGGAAGAGTTTATTTAGCTTATGCTTCCAGAGGGATAAGTCTCTCCTGGTGGAGAGGCGTGGTGGCAGGAGGTAGCTGAGCACTCACATCTTCAAGCAGGCACAGGAGATAGAGCCAGAGTGGAAGTGGGCATGGCATTGAACTCTCAAAGCCCGCCCCCAGTAACATGCTTCTTCCAGCAAGGCCACACCCCCTAAAGGTTCCAAGACCTCTGCAAACAATGCCATGGACAGGGAACCAAGTGTCCAAATACATGGAGCCTATGGGGACATACTCAAACCACCACAGTCTCTCCATGTAGTCAAGCTGGTCTCAAACTCACTATTTAACCCAGACTGGTCTGGAACTCATGATTCCCGTGCCTCAATATCTTGAGTGCTGGGATTACAAGCATGTGTTATCCGGCCACGTATTCCAGCTCCTCTGGGGAGGCCCTCAAATAATTCAGGATTGAGGCTGGAGAGATGGCTCAGAGGTTAAAGAGCACGGACTGCTCTTGCAGAGGACCTGGGTTCGGTTCCAAGCACCCATATGGCAGCTAACGACTGTCTGTAACTCCAGCCCCAGGAGATCCAATGCCCTCTTTGGCCTCTGTGGGCATTCAGGCAAAACACTCATATACATAAAATAAAAATAAATTTTAAAAAAAGACTTTAGCCGGGTGTGGTGGCGCACGCCTTTAATCCCAGCACTTGGGAGGCAGAGGCAGGTGGATCTCTGTGAGTTCAAGGCCAGCCTGGTCTACATAGTGAGTTCCAGGACAGCTGGGGCTACAGAGAGACCCTGTCTCAAAAAAAACAAACAAAAAACTTTAAAAAATAATTTGGGATAGATGCTGAGACTCCAGGTCCAAGGCCTGCCGAGTTGCTGAAGCCTCTACATTCCTATGTATAAAACAATGGTCTTGCCTTTCATCCCAGCACTCAAGAGACAGATCGTTGGGAGATTGGGGCCAGCCTGGGATGCTATACATAGTGAATTCCAGGCTAGCTGAGGTTATGTAGCAAGACCCTATCTCAAAAAACCAACCAACCAGAAAACAAAAGAAAAAAAAACTACACAATGGTCTCCCTAGTCCACAGTAAAAATTAAACCAGGTGGAACAAGCCTGTAGGTGGTAGAGACCCTGGGGTCAGAAGAGGCCCTCGCCCCTGCCCTGCCTGGCCAGCCTCCTAGCAAAAGGCCAGGAGGGGAAATGGGGAGACAGCTCATCTGTGAGCTTGAGGATTTGAGTTTGAGCCCCAGAACCCACAAAAAAGCTGGTGGTAGATACTTGTAATTCCTGAGCTGGGGAGGTTGACACAGGTGAGTACTTGGGGCTCACTTTTCATCCATTATAGCCAAACTGGTAAGCCCCAGGTCCCAGGTTCCAGGTGGGGAACCTCAGGCTGGGATAAAGCAGCAGGTGGACAGGAGGTATGTATGGAACTGGTATGATCTCAGCTCAAAGCAAAAGAGACCCCAGCTTCAAACCTAACCCAGGACACACAGATATTATGGATTCTCAGCAGCAACCCCACTCTGTGCTACAGATGACCTAGACAAAGCTCTGCCCCCAGCTGCCAAGGCGGGTGTGTGCAGGGGCAGTCTCCTGGAGACATGTGGCCTTGGCCACGGAGCAGGACACCTGTGCCAGGTGGACACTGGCAGGATGCCCAGACAAGAGCAACAAGAAGTTTCTGCTGAGTAGCTTGGGGACATCCTGGTCTGAACAGGGATGAAGGGGTATGTGGAGGGGTGGGGGTGACAGCCAGTGCCAGTGGAGGGCCTTGCCTTCTGAGGAAGGAAGTCAGGCAAAGTATGATTGGCTGGATTCCCAAGTGCCTGCAAATGGCCCCTAAGTAGTTTATGAGCAGGAAAGGATCTGCTGTGGAGGAAACACTCAAGAAGACTCTGTGTGTGTGTGTGTGTGTGTGTGTATGTGTGTGTGTGTGTGTGTGTGTGTGTGTGTGTGTCAGGGTGGAAGAGGCAGGGATCAGTGGTGGTTAACAACCATCTGTAACTTGGGTTCCAAAGGATCTGATGCCCTCTTCTGGCCTCCAAAGGATCTGATGCCCTCTTCTGGCCTCCGAGGACACTGCGTGACATGGGTGCACTTACACACATGCAGGTAAAACATACACATAAAAATAATAAATTTTTTTAAAAATACATTGGGCTAG